AAAAAAAAAAAAAAAAAGTTTTTTAGAGATATCTGATGTCATGGCCTCGGCAGTTGACAGTTTTCCAGCAGACAGTCAGTAATTCCTCCCTAAAGAAACTGGCTGGTCACAAAGTGCATCACCCAATAATATTAAAGGAGAGTTGAGTGGAATGAAAAATGTGGTAGAAAATTTTAAATCGAAACCAAGGAACCAAAGTATTCTTTTCATTTACTAACATTTAGTCACATCTCTATTTAAAATATGAAATTAATCTGCACCATTGCTTCTCGTTATTACTTCTGAGATTATGTGATGAAAGTATGGAACCACAACAGAGCTACTTTTAAAAATGCATGAATAATATAATATAATATAAAAAAAAAAAAAACAAACAGAAAACTTGGGGCATTAATTCAGCTCACATTTCACACTGGTCGAGGCTACAAAGCTGTGATCTGTGTTTCGAGTACCCACGCAGCAAGCGGCCGTACATCACTCGGGTCTGCCTTTTGACTCCTCTGGCCTCTCGATGGCCCTGCACAATGCGCACTTAGATCTGGGGAAACCTACAAGCTTCGTCAGGCGAATACACATGTGCCAGTGGTGCTGCGAGCATGCCCTGCGACAGCTGTGCGTGCCGGAATGAGAAGCCTTTATGACAGAGGCTTATCCAATCTGTATGGCTAATATGGAGAAGGCCGGACAGCTGCCTCATGCCTCGCCGGTGTCGGGCCAGGGGGACAAGAGAGAATGGGGCCTCTGTGAATCCCCCCATCCCCCGACCCGTCATTTGCGCGCTTATGTAACCTTTAGAAGGAATAGGACTGTTAAGTTTAAGAGGTGTGTGGATGCAGATGAGCTTTAGTTGATTGGGGTGGAAAAACCTACGATTTCAAGATTCAGATGAATACGTTTAGATTGACAAAACTTGATGTGTGCTCTGTGTGAACTCATAAACACCATCAGTAGTTGGCCATTACATGTTTCTGTAGACAATTAAAATGCACCGCCCGTCTTTTAAAAAGCCATTCCCCTCACAAACGAGTGCAGGGCGAACAGCTGCAAGCGGTGGAAATGGCGTTTGCTGCAACATCCATAAATCTGCACATCTCAGATGAGGCACAGATGTAGCATTCAGTGTAAGCCACATTCAGAACTGAGGAGTAAAACTCGAGCTGTTATGATCAGATAACTCTCTGCTGAAAGGAACTGCTGGTGAGTTTAACGAGTTTAATCTACTCAGACCCAAAATAAAGAGTTCGCTTTTCATTTCCGAACTCCAAGTAATGACCTAGAGTTCTTAGGTCATTATCTAACAAAAAAAAAAAGAAATACCAAAGTGAATTTAGTTCAGATATATTAAAAGTGATTTATCATCATTTAACAGCAGAAAATGTGAAAAACGAGGACCGGGGTAGCTAAAGCTGAAGCTGTCAGCCATGACCTTCTAGACAGGGACGATCCAGTATTCCTCTGGAGATCAAAGAGGAATACTGATGTTTTTCTTGGCTCTGGGAAAGCAGGGACATTCGTCTGCCATGCCGATTATTGCATTGTTGGATTAGCATTTCAGACTCCAGAGTCAGACCTCTGGATCAAAACACGATGGGACGAACCGATGGAAGGGACCCAACAACAACATGGGTCTGAGCAAAACGAAAAAGTCATCAAAGCTACAGATGCAGACCTCAACTCCACAACATCCAGAAAAACGAGATCAATACAGTTCCTTGCAAAAGTTCATTCCCCTTTCATCAAACTATAACCACTAGGCTTCAATGTATTTTATTGACTTTTTTGTGACAGATCGAAACAAAGTAGTAGGTTAACTGATACATTTGAGATAACTGAAGTAAACACCTGTAGATTTGTGTTAAGGCCACACCTTAAACACTGCTATCTTGTTTTATAGGACAGAAGGGATGTTTTTTTTTATGTAGTGTATGCAATATTCTGGTTTCAGCTGCTCTTATTTTCCTGTTTGTTCTACCAGCTTTACTACCACTGCTTTGCTTTGGGATTACTGCTTTAAAGTCCTCCACACCTTTCATCCCTGCCCTGCTGTGTTCCTCGGTCTTCATTATGCTGCTTGTTAACTAACGTTCTCTGAGGCTTTTCACAGAATACCTGGATTAACACTGAGATCAAATTACACAGCTGGACTCTGCTTATTAATACAATGGCCAACAACAAAAAAACAATCATTTTCTTCCACTCCACTTTTATGCACTACCTTGTACCTTTCTATCCCATAAAAGTCCCCATGAAATACATTGTAAAATGTGATTGTAACTTGACAAAACGTAGAAAACGCCAAGGGGCATGGATACTTTTATAGCGCCCCTTAGATAAGCTGAATTAACAGAAATCCGTCTTATCTTTTCGATAATCTATAACCTTCAGCCACCACCGCTCCACTTCCTGAAATTTGTAAAGCGAGGCCGAGCTCCGCAGCAGGCGATTGGTTTCTCCTCGGGAAAGCTACACCGCCGACGTGTCTGGATGACGGTACGCTCCGGAGACACACATTCAGCAACGCTGCGAGCAATCGTTGAGTAGTGAGGTGACTTTGAGTCCTGATAAGGTAGATGGGGGTAAAAGTCCTACAGCTGGGTGGGGGGAGTAACCTCAGAGCCTTATCACCACTAAACATGTCTTAGAGTTTCTTAATTTGAAAAGAGAAACTCTTTAGATTTCTGCAGAACTTTTTCCAAAATAGTAACAGCTTTCACTTTTTTTTTTTTGCCCCTCCCTGCGTTGACTGATGTCGTCCTTCCACACAGAATCAGAGAACAACAATAGAGAAGATCTGCAGCTGAGAACGGTGTGAAAACACTTTTGGTTGTCTTGCCTCTGGTTGTTTTTCTCTGCATTGACCTCGCCTCTGTTTGAAGCTCCTGTGGCGTCTACTTGCTGTGTCACAACAGTGACACCGCTGAACTCCAAATGACTGTCTCCGAAAGGCCAAGGCCTGCTTTGTGTTTATGAAAATACGTGAAACTTTACTCCGTGTGAGGGCAGGAAGACATAACGCCTCCATGGACGAGCAAACTAAAACAGAGAGGTGTGCTGGATTGCGAACCCGTTTTCTAGAAGTCTGCTTTGACCCGGCTGTCTTCTCCCAGGCAATAAATACAACAGAATCCTCCTTGAATGCGAATGCAAATACACACCCACATAATGGAATGTGAATCTCAACAGGCCTGCATGAATGAATGACTGCTTTCAACGACAATGCAGGCAGACAGACACTTGCGAGGTGTGTCGAGGGAGACTGCCGCGACCTTTACCAAAAGTGTTTGTTTTCATGGCATGACAAGCAAAAAAAAAAAAAAAAAAACGTTTTGTGAGTGTAACACGTAAACGTAACAGAGGCTGGAGGACATGGACTAAATCTCACAAGTCATGATCATGTTTGGATCACAAAATGTAGAATTTGTCCAATAGATGTCTGTAGAATTTACATCTGGTAGATGTTATAAAGACTAAGAAGTACAATTATTATTATTATTATTATTTTTATTTACAGAAAATAAATTATATAATTTGAACTGTTCAGCCCCCTTTATAAACCAATAAATAAAACCTACGTGTTCAGAAATCCATCTGTGTGCCATTTAATATGTTCAATTTGTTTTTAGAATCAGTTTTTTTTCATCTAACTTCACTGTTTCCTCCTTTCCATTTAAACTTTTTTCTCAGTCTCCAAACCAGCATCACTTTTTTTCCTTTTGGTCTTTGTTTTCCTTTGTCTCTTATCTGATACGCAGCATTTTATGTTGTCCGCTATAAACAATGACGAACTGACTGAAAACAGGAAATTCTTCCGCATATTTTCCTACTTTATGATCTGTTCTCCAAACACTAACCTGAGTCATCTTTGCCAGATCCAGGGAAGGCCTCTGTTTCTGAGAGTCCGCCGGCCGCCTGCGTTTCACACCGATCTTTTTGTCGTTTAAGACACACGGCTGGGAGCGACTCCGGGCAAGGCCACCCTCCCCACTGCGGCGCTCGAGTTCTGGAGTGGAGTCTGGCGAGCTCGCCGGTGAGGATTCCTCCGCCTCAGGGAGACAGATTTGTTCATGGGAGAGGTAGAGGGCCTGGGCAGATGGATCGGAGGAGTTGGGAGTTGGGCCAGAGAAGGCGGAAGGCCTTGACGACAGCTGGGGGAAGCAGGGCTGCTCCTGGCCGTTGGAGCGGGCAGGCAGGCTGAAGCTGGAGCTGCGCTGCATGGCCGGGAAGCAGAGCTGCGAGTTCCCGAGGCCGCAGCCGCCGCCTCCGCGCTGAACGCTGCCCCCGCTGTGGCACCTCCTCTTCTCCACCGAAGTCCACACGCGGGAGCCCTGAGGGCGCCAGGTGGAGCGGCAGCTGCTCAGCTCGTCAGAGCAGGACAGGGACCGGCACTGGCGCTTGCTGGGGGGCGCGGTGGAGTGCGAGGCCTCGGTCAGGCTCAGGTCCTGCAGCAGGCTGGAGATGGTGCTGGAGGTGGAGCCCACGTCCCAGCCCCAGTGGGCAGAAGTCCTGTGCACGTCGGGCAGGACGTCCCAAAGGCTCTCCAGGCTGGTTCCGACCGGCCGCTGCTGCAAGGCGCAGCTGGTCCCCACCTCACACCATCGGCTCGTCTCTGTAACAAACAGCAGCAGCGGCCTTTTCAAAATGCTCAACGCAAGACAGCAGATGTTCAGAGCAAGCTTGTTAATAGTATCTCCGATAAGAATGGGCCACTTACTGGTATCGGGGGTAAAACAGAAAAAAAAAAAAAAAAACACTCAAATTTTCCAAATATGTTGCAAAGTATGTGGGTCAAACTCAAGACTAAAATGTGGCCCTCCAGACTACCACATTAAAAAAAAAAAAAAAATGAACCTCAAAGTGAAAAGATGTTTAATATTATTTAACTTTAAGAAGTACTCATCAAATACACAAACACCAATTTACTTTTATTAATGAGTTTCTGGCACGGCTTCCCTTTGAGGACGTTCCTGATCTCGATTTTGTCCAAAATGAAAAATGAGTTTGACATCCCTGCTGACTGTAAGGTTTAAAATACTATAAATCCAAGTAGCTTTTGTTGTTTGCTTTTGTTTGCCGTTGCTCACAGAAGAGCCTCACGTGGTTTGTTGCAGAGGCTTTGTTAACTTGCTTGAAATCGTAGTGGAAAATTGACAATATACAGTAAAATTCAGCCCCCAAGCCGTGACGGTTGTATTACTATTGATGAAAAAGCCCACGCTCGGTCTGTATTGATTGTTTTGTTCAATAGTGATAGAAGCATTGTGGTTTGACGGCTGAATTTCTTACTCCATAGAGACAATTTTCCACTAGAAAGAAAGTACATTATTATCCTGACAGACCAAACTGCTGCTCTTTTGTTACTATATATGCCAAGGTTGTGCAGACATAAGTGACGTCAAACTTCTGCTTCGGGATTGTTTCCGTATTCATAGCACTGGCTGCTTTGCGTTGTATTCACCACAAACACACCCTGCCCTGTCCCTCAGGCAGTGCTCTAGTCGCCGTGCCGACTGGAAAAAGGAAGGAAGCTCAACGTCCAGCTGGCTCAATGCGCTGGAGTCGGAGTAAATATATATACATCGCAAGCATTCTGATGACCCGAGTTGTTGCTAACAGGAGCACAGGAAACTAAGTCACCTCCCAACTGATTTTTGTCTTTTCTTTTGAATAAAGGTAACCAACATGACTCTGGCGAGTGAGCAGCTAAACACGACAGCAACTATCCATTCATAGCACGCAGGATGTTTGTTCCTCTCTCTCTCTCTCTCTCGAGATAAACGTCGCTGATAATCAAAACCAGAAGCAAAAACAAGGCTTGTGGGAAGTACTATCATCACCTCGGACCATAGTTACTCCAAGAACATCAGACATTTTCGTCTCATCAAGAAAGTGGGAAAAATCAGGTTCACCATGTTTGGGTGTGAGGAGATTTCCGCAAAGATAAACTTACTAACATGACCTCACTTGAACACATTCTTGTACGTGAAAACCACCTGTAAGGCACGTTTCACATGAATCCACACGGCCTTAAACCAAAAGCAGCAGAGTCAACTTCCGTATCTTAAACTCATCGGACACTTCCAAGCTGCAGAGCAGCATTTAAACCACTTTGAGCCTCGAATAAGCAAAGTTCAGCTTAGGAAAATGAATAAAGCATATTGAATCAACTACAGGCTTGATCTGGACATTCTGGCCTTTTAGTTAGGATTATTAAAGATGGTGGTGGCAGAATAATGCTGTGGGGTGGAAATAATTTAGAATGAATGCTTTAACCTCAACTTAAATCAGCAGCTAGATGATTGAACTTGCAGTAAAACAGCACAGTGATGGCAAACGAGCAAACCGGTTAGAGGATGGATAAAGCTGGCTAATGTTTAGCTTCTACAACCTTAACCAGATAAAAATATGTAGAAAGTTAACTTAAAAGTTAGAACTGTGCCAACAAACTTTAATTTGAATGAAGTCCACAATTTATAGTCACATAATCCAATCAGGAGTACATCAGAAACTTGTTGATGACTTAAAAAAAATAAAGCTAGATGCTAAACAAATATTAGTGGTTGTTTATGTATATATTTGAGCATCTATCCATTTTTTTTTGTATAACTAATTTAAACGTTTTTTTAGACATTAATGATGTTGTTTGTTGCATAATTATTCCACTCTCCAAAAAAGCAGCTCAGACAAAATCCTCAGAAGCTAGTAACTTATAACACACGTTACCAAAGCGTGTAAAAGTTACGAGCACATCTGCATATCGAGCAAGTGAGATAAGGAAAGCTTACCCATGAGTCCACAAGAAAAAAGTGCTGCTCCCTGGCTCATGGTTGGCGCCTGGAAGTGTTAGAAATCAGAACAAGATTCTCTGTCAGCCATTTAAACACCACAAAAATAAAAGGAATGTGGGATTGCAGAGGTAGCAGTTAATAATTTCAATAAAACTGAAGAAAGTGGTGAACAAAAGTTCGGCCGCAGATGACTTCACTTCATGAGACTGAGGGCAATCTCAGTCCACATAAGTGGGGGAATTTTCTTCTCTGCTGGCAGAGCTTCAAGTTGCAGGGATGCAGAACCAAAAATTAGTCAGAGTTGGTCAGCCTTGTGTAAAGAATACTACACTGTCATTCCAAGAGAAATCCTGGTTAATGCTACCAGCTTTTATGATGCAATCATCTGTAATTGCAGCATAAATGTCCTGCATTTATAATCGTAAAAAGCATTCGCGTTGTTTCTCTGATGTCATGTCCTGTGAGTCACTCGGGCAGCCGTTAAATATTCTGCCTGAGAGAGTTGGGTTTCAGCTTTGTTTTAGGAGAAATAGGTGGTTTTAATTCAGAGTAGCAGGTTGTGCTCTCCTTTGAAGAGCACATGTCACTTAGACACCAAATGACACATTCCACACACAAGGAACTGCTTACATAATCTCAAAATATCCTCTCACCGTGCCCAAGTCCGTACGTGTTGCTGTTACATCGTCGCCGCCCTTTTTTTCCACTGTTTTCTTGTAAATGATCACCATCACAACACGCATCCCTGTCCACAGCCGGTCCAGTAATGGCAGTTCATGCTGAGGGCCATCTCTTCGGGCTTGGTGCTATTAGTCGGCTGGAATGCGCTTCACTTCTCAGCCCACACCTGAGAGGGCACAGGGAGATGAGAGCGGGATTAGAATTGGGAGCATTTTTAACATTCTGTCGGCCGTATAGAAGCTGCGAACGGAGAGGAAGGGATCCCCGACCTGGAGGCTCTGAAATGCATCATCAAATGGAAAAGAAGCCCTTAAGATCCCTAAAAGGAATTCCCTGAGAATCGCTTTGGTGTCCAGTGCCGACTGGAATAACAGGAAGATGGATGGACACATGGGTGGATTTTAAAAAAATAACTCAAATAAAAAACTCTGTAAATCTGGAATATTATCAAACTATTGCAGAGTTTCTACTACAGCCTCTACACTAAACACCAAACTAACCTGAAACCCAAAGCCCCCCACAGACATTTAACCTTAAAGAGTGGCCTTCCATGCACAGTTAAATTTTTAATACTGAATCACCCAAGCTCCATTTCTCTCTTTCACACACACACACACACACGCGCACACACACGGATTCCGTTTCTGCAGTTCCAACACGTGCATCCTGTTCAACATCTACATATGTGGAAGATAATGGGAATTCAAGTTTTTTTCTGAGGCTGCACTCCCAGAACACACTTTATTTGTCTCCTCCGCCATCATGTGTTTTCACTTCCGCACGGCCTCCTCAAGAAAGCCACATTAAGTGGAACTCCACCTTTTTAGATTCGTGTGAGTTTCCTTAAAAGTGTCCCACTCTGGAACCCACAGAGGAGTTGTGTAATTGACTCCTCGGGGGCCGGCCAGGAATAGCTGACCTTGCGGTTATCAAAACAGGCCTCCTTGTATTAACGCTGCTCCACGATTACACTAAAACTGCTGATTGCCTCCCTCCCCCCTGTCAGATGTAAATCTATATAATGGTCAGAGGATCTCGCTACCACAGCAATCAGTTGGATGCAAGGCCATGTCAGGTAGAGCAGTCGTGGAACAAAGAGGACACGAGATGGTCGTATGACGCCCTGAAGGTCACTACAGGAAACCAGCACACAAACAAAAACAGAAGAGGCGCGAGCAAAGAGGTCTGGCTGCTCTGGGGGCTGGAGTGGAGTGCAATAGCGTCACAAGACCATGCAGGAGCACGCCAAAGGTGCTGTTTGAATTCAGCGAATGACTTCCATCACTAACACTTATCACCTCGAGACGACAGAACAAGAGAGGGGTTCTGAGGAAAAGACACAACACTCACTGAGCTCTTTGGGCTTAACTGGTGACAGAGAGGAACGGAGCTTTGGGATGGATAGCGTGCGTGGCGTGGCCATCGACTACAGAGATCTGCGAGATGGCTGCGACTGACACTACGGAAGGGGAAGCAGTTGTTTACGCATCTAAATGACCCAGAGACAGACACACAGCGACCAACACGAAGTCCTCCCCACCGACGACTCCCGGGGTTATCCGACATTCTTCATGCTCCCATCGTAAACACCGCCAATATGTTCAGCTAGAGAAAATTGCAACAATTAAATCATCTTTCTCTCCCTTTTCCCTTCCCCTATCCCTATAAATCTGAACTGAGTACTTCAAGTGGGTGAGGTTTATAACATAATTATAAACATTCCTCTGCTGCATGACATAAGTGGAACACACAATTATAAAAGCCTAACCTAGCCCTGCAGCCCTGGAAAACCACTCAAGCTTGTCTTGGATTTTGAGTAAAAACACAGGATGCAAAATGCTAGGATAAAAAAAAAATAATAATAAAAAGGAAGGGAGTGAAACTACTTTTTCTTGGACAGACAAAACCTGGAAAGCAATCCTAAGATCAGGCATGGGCTAATATCAGAGTCCCATGACATGATAACTTGAGATCCACAGATCACGCTTTACCGGTAATATAGATTTCTGGTTTCATATAACATCTGGTTTGCCAAATGTGATTGATTCCTTTTTTTAATTTTCCCGAAAGGATAAATATATTTGCAGCTGGCTTCTTTGAAATCAGTAAGTTTTACCACTAAAAGTTTTCCATTACGCCAGTCGTATGATTTACATTTGAGATGCAAAAATGATTAATGGGATCCCATAGAAAGTGCTGGGATCACTCGAGGGTAGAGTTACTAAGCGCTGCCCCTCCGCCAAATGCTGCTGTACACTAATAGCAAGTGTAGTCTGGCTACCTGAGCAGACAGCCCAGCTAATTCACATGTTCTGTGCAATAATCAATTGAAAAATAACTTGTTTTTGCTCAAGTCTTTTGCATAAAAATAAATAAATACTCTGATGAATGTTAGGAAACAAGGGTATTTTTTAAAAGCCTAATTTCAAATTTTCTCGTTTCTTGAAACTTACCATGAGAATCTCCTACCAGCCCCTGCTTGGCACTCCTTCATCCGTTACCGTGCCCAGAGCTGCATCTTACAAACTGACAAATTCAGCAACAAAAATATCTGTCCTTCTCCAATTCTGATGTAAAACCTGAAAGCACCTCTGTTAGCGACATCGCCATTTATCTGGAATTGGTGGGAGTCTCTACGCTTCTGGCATCCGATAACTGTTTTATCTTTAGCCACCATGACAACAGAGAAAGTCTAATCGCTGAGCACAATGCAACAGAGCATTTCACTTCCCATCAAAGGCAGACTGACAAACTGACTTCCAACACATCTCTCTGCAATGCTGTCTGGCGTCTGTCCTGAAAGGCAATGACGATGCTGTCTTGGATGAGCAGATGCTGCCCTTCTTCCTTTGTGGTTACCAAAAACTTTTCAACCATGGTCGCTTTGGTTTGTCAGCGACATCAAGCAATCGTGCTGCAAAAGTGAGATACGACGCGAGGAAACCACAGAGCTTACTGGGTCAACTCAACGCAAGTGGGCTTTTTGTCAAATGTTCTTCAACTGCATTGTATTGCGTTTTAATTAGGATCTCAATCCCACTATGTGACTGAATTGCATTCTAAGTGTATTGATTTAAAGTGAGATAATACTTTTTAAAATATAAATGGATATGAATTGGATCTCTTTTTCTTGAGACAGCATTTGTTTATTTGCTCTTGATTTATCCAAATTTCATAAAGACCACACAAAGCAATCCCAACAAAGACCCCAACAGCAGCGTCTGCTCTGTTTGAGTAGCTTTTCCATACATTGCCTAGACTGTAATCCCGTGGGTTAGGCCACCATTACATAAGGATTTGTCAGCTTTGTGTCTGACAATTAGAGCTAATACTAATCTGTTTTATAGCACTTGGACAGCTGGTAGAAACAAAAGTGTTTGATATGGCGTTGGCTTATTCAGATTTATTACTCTGAAGGATTGCCACTTAGAAATGTAATCTTTGATTTATTTTTATTTTTTTCTAAGAATCAATCAATCAATCAATCAATCAATCAAATTTTATTTGTATAGCACATTTCAGCAGCAAGGCATTTCAAAGTGCTTTACATAATTAAAATAAAAACAGCATGTGAGAAAGAGATTTAAAAAAAACATAATTAAAACGTAAACAGTGAGAAAGAGAAATAAAAAGCTGTATAACTTTAGTTGAGATGCCGTCAACTGGGACTCCAACCCTTTGGACTTTAGTCAAAACGCCATTTGACAAAGACTCTAACCTCTCGGACTTTAGTCAAAGAAGATGCTAAATTTAAAAAAAGAACAAAATTCCATACAAAAGTTTAATGGAGAAGAGGTTTTGATATTCCTAAAGAAATACCAATCAATGGAAAGACAACTGTGGATGTCTCAACAAAAGGAGAATCAGCAGAGCGCCTGAGATGGCCGGCCTTGGAAGGCTAACTGGGGGATTTGTACTGTTCCTGATCTCTGTAACCTCTGCAGGAGGAAATCAGGGTAAATGGGACATTTTCTGCAGACAGTATTCCTGAGGAAACAAAGCAAATAGCTAAACCCCTGAAGAGTAGCAGGTTCCAAATCTACGCCCACCTTTTGAGAATTCAGGTTCATCCCAATGTATGACAAAAATCTTGTTTCTTTTTTTTTCTCTCATTCGAAACAAAAATAAAACAAATAACTATTAATTCTGAAGACTACAGCTTGCAGCTGATAAAAATCCAGCACTGAATTGAGCTTCTCTAAAACTTGTAATATTTCATAAGACCAAGAAAAAGAATGTTTGACACAGAAATGTTATGTCATGAGCATGTTATGTCCTATGACATAAACAGACTGCTGACTTGCTAGTTGCCCAGCAGACAAACACTGACTTCCTCCACAGGCAGGATGTTTTTGAGGGAAAGTTGAGTGGAAGAAAAACAAATTTGCACAACATTTAAGGTGCTTGATATTCAGTGTGAAGTTACTACACATTGAGTGGTAATTTGGAGAGACTTGACCTCTTGCTTGTGCTCTAAAACTGTCAAGAGGACAATGAGAAATTCAAGATAGTTTACCAACAGAAGCTATTAAAGCAATGTGGGTTTTACCAACAATTCTAAATGCAGTCATACAAAATATGTCACATGCTGAATGAATGTTCTGTATTGTATGTACCTTCCAGTAAGCCCACATTTCTATGCTAATCTTTTGGTTAGTTGGATGTTAAAGCAAGTTGGATTCTATTCAACTTTTTGCGCCACATTTTTTTCTTCCACATAATTTTCCATTATTATGTTAGGATACGGCACTCTGAATAGCCGACTTGTACAGCAATACAATACCTTTTTGGGATTACCCTACTTGTGGATTGTCTCAGTGACTGTCTGCTGGACAACTGCCAAGTCAGCAATCTTTCTCCATGGTTATGTAGGTCAAAACAAAAATAATCTAAAAACCTTTATTTTGGTGTTTTTGTAATATTGTATTTGTCTCAGAAACTGAACTGGGGGTTTTATATTAACTGCAAGTAATTAAACAGAAGCAAACAAAATGTGTCATATTTGTGTATCTGTGTAGAAACTGAAACTCTGATATGAAATAAATGTGAAATCTAGCCATCTATTTCTGCATTTTTTTTTTTTTTTGACGCTGCAGCAGCAGATTGCACATCACAGAGAAAACTCCAGGTTTTCGAAACCTGAAACTTCCTTTGTTGGGGTCATTATTTAGCTCCCAGTGAGCAGCAGGTGGTACTTAGTACTGTCGAGGCTGACTGAATGAAAGGAACTTTATGAAACACATTGTAGGGTGCTGGCAAGCACACAGCTGCCCAACACGTTCACAGAAATTAAACCAAGTCATACGGGAGGCTTGCTCCACATTTTTTAAAGCTGTGAGTGAATAGTCAGAAATGAGCATGGCCGGGAGGCTTCAATGGCAGCTATCGGGCTCAGTCGAGGCCCTGGGGTACAGCCAAGGTCTCACAGGCATGCAGCTGCCCACTTACCATAAACACAAAGGCTCAGCATGGCTACGCATGGCAGCCAGGGAGGCCCAGGTTCTTAAAGCTGGCTCGCCGCTTAATTATCTCATACATAATCGCTTGCACTGTATACATTTGTCCAGAACAAGAGCTTTGTTGAGCTCAGTAATCGAGGCTTTGGACAAACTTGTCCAAGCTGGAGAAGAAAGTTGTCCGCTTGAATGCTAAACCTAACAAAGTCTCTTAATTACACAGTGGATAAGGGGACACAACAACTAATGGTACAAAATAGGAATTGGCAGGAATAGTTAATCAATAGGCTGATAGGCTTATTACGTCTACAATCATGTTCTCTGCGTCATGTGTTTGTTAATGTAATTTTGATTAATAGACTTGGGGATAAATAATTACTTAATGTAGTATATGTGCAGAATATCATCCTTTTGATCTTGACACAGTTGTGGTGCTCCTACTCACTAGGGGGTTAAGCAACCAGATATTAGCTGCTTAATTAGTCAGGGAACCTGCTAGCATAACCAGCCAGAAGTCAGTCCCACTCAAAGTGTAGTTTAGTTTAGGAGCCTACTTTTGAGCTAGTTGACCAGCGGACGTGCAGCAACAGGTGGGGTGGGGGCAGCTCTGCATTACGCTGTGATCCGTGCCGGGAACTCTGGCGACTTCAGCAAACTTTGGGGCGTCTCGTTAAAAGGAGCTGAAACTACAGATGCACCAACAAATGGGCTGGATATAGGCTTTGATTTGTGATCGACACATCAAACAATGTCGTGTTTCAAGCTCAAATGGTCATTTTATTTAGAATTAAACAGATAAATAAAAACTAAGAACTTAAAAAAAAAAATATCTCATCTTAGATGGGAATAATCTTCAAATCTGGCTTCAAAACCACATACTCTATTAAAGAGTATGTGGCCTGATCTAGCTTGATAACAAAGACCACATCTAAATGTTGTTAGAAGTGAATTAAAATATGTTTTAAGATTACAACTAAGTATTTCCAGTGGTAGCTAAAAAGGAAAGGTAAATCATCTGCGAGTCCTGACGATTGGCAACCCTCTCATGGAGACGAGTTAAAACGTTCAACAGTTTTTCACACGAGCCTGCAGCTAACCTTCCAGCTGGATGGAAGGTTAGCTGTCACAAGAAAAAGTCCCCTGAAAACTGAGCCGGTCCACAAGTGACTGGCACACTCTATTAAAACCCCATTTCTAATGAAAGGGAAACGAGTTTGGCAGAGGAACTGAACTAAACCACAGCGAGAACATGATTTTGAACATGACAAAAGCAGCCAAGCCCTTGTAACTGTAAAGAATTAGCTTTACATGCAGAAAATATGAAATTCTTTGGCAGCGAAACACTCGATTTGACTGCAAAAACTTAACAGTGACAACTGCAGCCATCTGGGACACTTCAGTGTTCACGTTTCTCTGTTTTTGTTTATGTTGCCGGGATGGTAAACTGCTGAATCTGTAGGATGTGTGTCAGCCAACCCTGACTTCACACCTGAGGGACAGGCTGGCTTTCAAAATGATAAGACAACCACATTCCACTGCGGTGCCACAGTCTGAAACCAAAAGTGAAAAGGAAAAATAGCACAGCCATAAAATAAGGTTGTGTCAGTAAGTATTCAGCTACAATGACTACTTACTGACACCATTTTTTTAAAAAAACAAGCAAACATCTTGGTTTGAATGTGGAAACCATACTGAAATGATCGTGTCCTTCATAATCAGCACATGATGCAATAAACTTAATTAACACCATTTATTAAGTATTAACTAATCATGTGCATGGTTATTATTTTTAAAACACTTTTGAGAAGTTTCTTCAACATATTTCTCACTGTTTAGGTCTCATAGAGTACAGTAAAAGAGGAGCTGACTTTATTTTAAAAAAAACAGTTAAAAGGGAAAATTATGAGTGCTAAAACAGACAAAACAAAGGGACACAGCTAGAGCAGTTCCCATGAGAAAAACTTAAGCTAAGCTAACAGAAACTCTATTCAGACTCCCCCGAAGACGCTACCACTTGCAAAAAATAATGACAATTCTAATAATTTAGGAGTAACATAGCTTCAAAACGAATTATAACATTGTTTGTAGTGTAGCTATAGATGTTACAGTAAGTTTTCTGAGCAATGTTGCTAACATTTGAACAAAATTTCCAACTCACAAGCATCACTGTGATGACTTCCTCGGATTCCCAACAATTCAGAGAAGCTGTTTAGTTTCTCGCAGCCATGGCGAGTTTCTTTTTCGCAAAAAGTAGAAACAACAAGGTAGGAAGCAAAGAGAACAGCTCACTTCAGCTGCTCTCTACTAACTACAACACTGCCCCACTACTCTACTGTCCCACAGAACTACACGCTAATGAGCTTGTGACGACTTGCGTGGACGATACCACTCATACAAGGGGGGGGGAGATGAGGCTTACATTTGATTAAAAACACCTTTAAATCTTATACATAACGGTCATCATCTGTATTATTTTCAATACTTACAGTTGTTATGTTTTCTGAACTGAAGTTTGAGGAACATGAATGGAAAACATTTACTTTGAATGACTTTTGTTGAGAGAAACACCCCCCTCCATCCTTTCAGATAGTCGCCTAACCCCCCTTGAAGTAATGAAAAGTAACCACAACTTCTGAGTCAGGCAAAATAATAGTGGGATGTCCGTCTCTTTCAGAGATCCTGATCATTCTCCTCAGTCCAAATGCAGGATTAAGCTGATGGAAAAGTAATAAGAAGTGAACATATCTATAATAAGTAGCATTGATTGATGAACAGGTTCAATTCAGCTATTTCTTTAAGGGAATGCAGTCCTTTTTTCACATTGCATTTTCACAAATCACAAACTGTGTTGAAAGGCTATTAAATAATTTTTAATCATGATTAGACTAGTCAGTGGTCTTCCCATTTTCACACTTTAAATGGGTAAAAATATCTTCACACCAACCCAGTCCCTGCTGAAGACAAACATCTGCACTGTGAAACAAAAGGGTGGCAGTACGACGCTGTGGGGACGGTGTTTCCAGCGTTAGTTTTATGCCAAAGTTTGCATTGTTACTGTAAACCAAATAGTTCAGTTTGGTTTTCTTTTGACTGGAACGCCTTCTTCCTCATATTTAGTTTGTCCTCTTTATGGCGTGCAGAAAACCTTAAAATGGGGCTTTTTATTTGTTGCTCTTCCATGAAAGCTACATTTGTGTTGTGCAGGAAAAATATAGTTTTTCTTTCACTTCATAACATGCACTACTTTGTGTTGGTCTATCGCAAAACCTTATTAAAATCCAGTGAGGTTTGTGGTTGTAATGTGACATTTATGTGTAAAGGTTCTGAATATTTGAATACCATTGCAATGGAATAATGATAATAACAAGTATCTAACAATTTTAAACCATAAGATATTGTGGTTTATTGTTATGAATACTAAAGTAAACCTTCGCCACAAACCTCCGCCTACTGTAATATCCCCAACCAAAAATGTTTTTTTTTTTTTTTTTTTTACAGTAAGTTGAAAACATTTCCGAAGGGGGGCATAATGAATTCGCCTAACTGGGCCTCATAAGGGTGGGGAGCTTGAGGCTCACCCCTGGCAGACACTATTGTTAATCAAGGAGTAACATCTGCTGTGTTCTTCTAATCTTCTCCAGACTGTCCTGCTCGGTTTTAGACTGTCTGCTTTTATTTTTGCCTGCCTTTTGGGTGACCCAGGATTTGTCTCCTACACAATATCGGATACCAGCCTAGAGTTAAGTTGTTGGAAAAGTGCACTTCTTTAGTGATCACATGCAAAGTAGTATTGGGGACAAAAGTAAAAAAAAAAAAGATGTACAGGAATACATGAATGAAAAGAGGTTTCATTTTCATATTTTCATAACATAATTATGTAGTTAAATAAACCTCGAATTAAACATATTAACTAACACATTATCTTTTCTATAATTGGTCAAAATTTTATGTGTGCTGTACATCATGAATTATTTAAAACTATAAATATGGCTCACCAGGTAGATCCTGACATGTGATTGGTTATCTACAAAGTATTTTAACTGACAGTTAACCTTATCCACTGACTGTGATGTGTAATACTAATGAATAATGTGTGTGTGTGTGTGTGTGTGTTGTTTTGATCATTTGTCTATTTACTTAAACTATGCATGTTTAATTACATCTAATTTATCACATGAATACATAATGATTACTTAAACATCACAGATAAGAAGCAGGTGATTAAATCATGTTTATTTAATCAATTTATGTTTATTTATACTTGCCGAGTACAAGAAATTAAGAGTTGGCCGGGTGTGTTGTTGCTGTGAAAACCATAGGGGGCAGTGTCCACCAAACATGTTACAAGAAAAGAATCAAAAAGGGATAAAGACGTATTATAAAAAATGGATATTGTGACTAATTGCAATCATTATTAATTGTTTGATTTTTCTTACTTTTCATGGTTTTACTGTTAGATCAGAGTAAGAAAAAAAAAGCCGTCTTCCAGAGAGTCCCCTGCATAATGCTGGGTGCCATCTGCGGCTCACACTGGCCAGGGACAGATGGCTGAAGAACTCCTGTTACAGGAGCAATCGCTTCTCAACTTTAATGAACAGTTAATCCCCTCTGTGGCCAACAATTCCCATTTTATTACAAGTAGAGGTTGGTATTCATGCAAAGTGTCCAATCAATCCAATAAAACCATATGACTTTCTAAATATGCGGCAATTAGTTCCTCAGCTGATTGAGCAGAAATGAGTTACTCTTCAAATCCAAAGTGTGTGCGTCATTCCACCTTCACACAACAAACACACAAACTGTCTGAGAATCTGGTTAACAACCGAAAACAACCAGACTGATTAAAAGAAAAACACTGACACCATTTGTCAAAATTTAGAAGTGCACGACTTTAAGAACTGTCTTTTAATAGGTTGTTGAAATTTTCTCTTACCCAGCGGGGTCCTGTAACTACAGTCGGGACATGAAAAGAACCATATGGTTTTCATGGAGTTCCTCATCTAGGTTTCATTGCCTTTCATTCTTCCCACTAATCCTCACCCATTATGTTTATAGCCAAGTTTAAGTGAACAGACTCATCTCAGTGGGTCTCAAGGTTTCCCTCTCAGAGGATCCAAACCCAAGTCGCTGCCAAATCATGATTTAATAAAGCTCCTCTGTGTCTGGAAGAGGGGCAGCTGTTTGCCCGGTGACGGTTCGTGAGGGATCCGGAAACATCCATGGTGGCCAATCAACACCAAGAGCGTGTACCGCCTCTAAAATGTAATTAAATTAATGTGTGAATAATTACGTTTTGTTTTTTAGATGGACAGGTGGTAGCTAAATAAAAAATACATGTCATACCTTTTTTTTTTATTTGTAAAACATTTTGCAAACTACTTATCAAATTCCAACAAATGTACAATTTTGCAATACATTGCTTTAACCAGTCATATTAAACCCCAATAAAATAATTTGAACTTTACATATGCAAAACGAAATGTGAAAAATTGAAACGACTGAATAGATTTGCAAAGCGATGCACGAAAGAAGTATTTTGAAATGTAATTAGAGGAAGCCCCGTGTGTGACACCATCTAACTGCAGGTTTCTGCAAGCTTTCCAGGTTGCATGGTCCATGTAAAGGCAGAGCTTAGTCTTCTCAGTCTGTGGGAAATCGATTTATTATGGTGCAGCTGCTTTCCGTTAATTTGGTTTGCTCTGATAAACAGAGAACAGCCCTTCAAGTGTTACATTCATGTTCCAAGAAAAGCAACCGACACGACATGAAGTGAGGAGCTTTATGATTATTTCATACATTTCTTTTAGCTCCTTCGCATATGACCTCCAGTTGAAGTATTATAACACTACGTATAAAACACGCATACGTTTTTAGAAAAAAAAAAAAAAAAAAAAAAAAAACACAGAGCAGCGGTCATTAGTGAGCAGACTGCACATTCTCTCCCTGAGAATCCCTCCTCTCGTTCTCCATGTACGCCTGCACGGACCGCCACAGAGCCCGGATGTTCCCTTCGCCAAAACCCGTCGCCCCTCTGCGCTCAATCAGCTCCAGGAAGAAGGTGTCCTCGGCGAAGAGGGGCTTTGTAAACACCTGGAGGAGATATCTGAAAGCATAACCGAAAGGTCAACACACATTATGAACCACCTTGACTCTTACTGCGAGGTCGTGACCCACCTTCTGTTTTCGCTGCATCCCGTCTGTGACGATGGAACCTCCTGCAGGTCCGAATCCAGAAGAATGCCGTGCTCCGAAAGCCTCTGGGGATCGAGTCCCGCCTTCTCCATTTCCTGCAGTTTTCCGACCTGCCGGAGCAGGCGTCACGTGTTAGATAAATCGCTGGTTTGCAAATCAGTTGGATGGATTTTCAATGCGCCTGATGCCCACATGCAATCTACGTTAACAGGGACAAAGATCGAAATGCTCACAGAGAGCGATGCGGTTCTCATGGCAATGGTTAGAAAAGGTGTGGCGTGAAGGAGGGAAGTGAATCGTAAACCATATTGTTATAATAATATTCCAATTCCGACGTTTTTTTTTTTCTCCACTTGTTTTGTTGTTGCTTCTCCCTAATTTTCCAGGTTTTATTTAAAAATTAAATATCCTCATTGTACAAAAAAAAAATATTTATTTGCTTTGATTTATTCGGATATTTTCTAAATTTATTACTTAGTTTTCAGGAAATAGTCTTTTTTTTTTATTTAACCATAACTATATACCATCACTGAGCAGATCAGCTATTTAAAAACAATATTTTATTGAGTACGTTTTGCTTCACAATCACTTTTCAGTCTAGAGTTATTCTTTTGCTTTGTAGCAGTGGCCTTTTCTGGATTATTGTAAGTCATAATCGTCCGCATTAAATAGAAATAAGTGCTTAAAACATGTCATACTGTCAAATAACTCTTTATGAGTTTCTCTTTTTAAAGCAAAATACTCAAATGAACACATGGCATGCTAACCAGACTCTGTATATCTGTGTCTTTGTCTGTGCTGTTTTCATGAACAAAGAGCGGCTCTGTCCTTGCCGTGCTGGGTGGTGTCGTGGCCTTGAAGAGACTGATTATGAGCTGAGCTGTGTCAGGAAATCTACACAGAGAGAGGCTAAAAAAGGAGTGAAACCAGCTTTGATTTTATTTCCTTTAGAAAAAAAAAGAGAAAAAAGACAGCATTGAATAAACGGACCTTCTAAACTTCCTTCTCTCTTATGGCAATAAGGTGTGTGCAAACCTCTGTGTAGTATGCAGGAGGAGGGGAGAAAAACTGGACTCCAGCTTCAGCCATCGCGTGCGCGGTGGAGACAATGTCTTTGGTGTAGAGTGCGACGTGCTGGACGCCGGCCCCTCTGTGCTGCTCCAAGAAGGTGTCCACCTGGTTGCGGCCTGAAATATGAGTAGCGGTGTACTCAGAAGCTGCGATGTCATGAACTGTAGAACAATCCGAAGTGTCAGCCGGGTTGTTGTACCTTCGTGAGGAAGTGATTCCGCGATGACAAACTTGCAGTCGGGTTCTTTTACGTCGGGGAAGGGAAGAGCGATGCCCGCTTTGCTGCACTTCCAGTACTGCATGGCAGTGAGTCGAAGTCCGACGCCTTCCTGGTTCACAACAAAACCTTCGTCTACATCTTCATCGCTACAAAAAACAAAAAAACAAAAAAAAAAAAGGGTTGTTTACCTTGAGATAAATTACTTCATAACGCTTGTTCTAATAAGCATTCATTGAAAAATACCTGTGGTGCTTTTTCCATGAGGGATTCATTTTTTTGTGGGTGTCTGGAAAAATCCAGTTACACCACTGGGGAAAAGCAAAACACAATGCCTTGCAAAACATATCCTAACCATTTTTATTTTTATTTTGTCCCATTCCAACGACAGACTTTAATGCAGCTTGACTGGGTTTTTGATAAACCAACACATAACAGTGTCACATAGCTCTAGAAAATTATGATTTCGCAGATTAGAAGGATGTTTTTTTGTTGTTGTTGTTGGAGATTTTAATTACAGATATCTGCAAAAGATGTCTAGTTTAAGTATTAAATGTCAACATTGGTCACCTAAACTAATTTAGGACGCCAAAAAAACAATGAGAGACTTTTTTCAACTTTTTTTTCTTTCTGTTTTTAATACCAACACGGATGGATATTACTCCTAAGTAATATCCATTTCTCACCAGTAAGTGGCGCTAAAGGATTCATTACAACTTTTGCCTTATTCAACGCTGGAATCAACAATGATCATCACAAAAAAAAAAGACAAATATATAAATATAAAAAAGAACCAGCTATAATTAGCATGTAGACAATAGCTTCAAATAGAAGGGATTTTTTTTCACACCATCTTTATTTGTGTAAGATGGAGCCTTTACCTTCATCTTTTTTTTTGTTAGGGAGGGAGCAATCTAATCTGTAGAATTTGAAATGTCAAAATGTATCCAATGTAAAAATCCCAATGTAGCTGAGCACGAACCAAGTTACAGGTTAACAGTGAGCTCCAAGTGCAACTTAAACCAACAAAACGGCATTGGTGACACTGCTGTCAACGTTAACATTAATAAACAGGATACTACAGCAAGTGCACTGGAAGTAATTTAATATAACATATTTGAATACAGCTGCCATTCTGAGTGTTCCAAACAAAAATTACATTTCCATCCTAAGAACAAAATCTGACTGAGGAATTACATGTTTGATTAAACAGTGTGGCTTGATGATGCATAACTACACTCTGCCATACGTTATTTTTTTGCCTTTACTTACCCATCAATGAAAAATCTCTGAAAGCCAAAAAGCTTCTCATACCACCCGATGACCTGGTGGGATGACTTTCTGGGACTGGCATAAGTTATGTGATCAAAATGGGTAACTGGACAAGACAAGTCCTCCTTTTCCAAACTCCAGTTCTTCTCAGCGATAGTAAACCCAGGCAAAAAGGTCCCTCCGTATTTTGTCTTGTCAACCAACGTGTGGCACACATTTCCCACAATCGATTTAACCACGGAGTAGGTGACGAGACCATTTTCGTCCTCGACTGTCGTGGGAGGCACAAGGAAGTTGCAGCCCAGTTGGCGGAGCACCTTGAACGACCTTTCCACGTCTTCCACCTCGAAACACACGTTACTGACAGAGTCCACCGGATGGTGGGTGTGAACATCGTAAAGACACGACGGGTTACTCAGCTTGTGTTTCTCCGAGTGGACTCGGGGAGCATGATCGGGGTGTTCACCGTTTCCACCGTTCTGCGGCCATTCATTCAAACCCACACTGCCCTGAACGGGTCCTTCATTCACGACGAAGACTGACGTTCCCTTCCGGAAAGCCACCTGCCTTGACTTGTCAGTCAGTCTGGTGGCAAACAAATCAAATTTGTATTTCGACACGAGGTCGTGGGCTAATTTCAGCCCGTTAGAAACGTGAAGCGAAACGTGGTGTAAACGGCGCAAGGGGACTGCCATGTTTTTCCTTTTGAGTGACGGGGTGCGCATCATTTGTAAACCGGGGAGGAAGGTGGCGCGCCGTGTGGGCTTGGTTTGAACAAACTCTCAAATGGCGCCACTCAGTTATAACAACAACAATAATACCAACAACTGAAAACTAAATTAAAGGGAGTCATATCCACAGTCTGTTTTTTTTTTTTTGATGAAGCAAATGCTTAACGAAACACTGTTTATTTATTATGATTAAAACTGATGAATTAATTTAAATGTTGAGATAAATTGTGTTACATGTCATTGTGTCTTTATAAATTGTGCATTGTAAAGACACAGTTTTCATATTGGTTGTATCGAGTTGCAGATAATTCATGGCTTAATCATTTATATATTATTAAGACAAAAAATACATATTATAATGAAATTTAAAGGCAGTTAATTAAAAATAAGATGATTAGTTGACGATAAATGTTAGTCTTGTATTAATACCTTTCAGTGTAAACTTGACACTGACAATATAGATGAAAATAGTGTTTCAGGAAGAAATGACTGGAGGAGTATTTTGAAGAATTTCCTTTAGTATTTTCAGTTTTATCAGAAAGAAAACAAACAAGAACACGGAGGTTGATAAATGATAAATCATGTTCTTTGTTTCTGCTTTGAAAAAATATATATTCAGCTTTTCAGTTGCTGTTGATGAAACATTTGCATGCTTTAATATACATGATTAAAAATAGTAATCAGTTCCCTTTATTAAATACGAGCAAGGTATGCAGCACAGCAACACTTCATGATACTGTTACTTAAGTGCTATTTATAGGAAACTTGTTTAACAGCTATAACTATCTGTCACAGCTTTGTTTAAGATTACATTTTCTTCACCTCTACCAATATTCCAGAATATTTCGTGATGCATTGTGAATAGCAAATGAAAAAAGCTATCTTTTTCTATATTAGACAAGATAATACATCGTTCACTTGTTATTAAAAACATAGTGGCATCTAACTCTCCACTGTCAATGTCGATGTGTGTGTCTGTGACCCGTGGCTTTAATCAATTACCTCTTGTCTTCCATAAAGGAGGGTAACTCCTCCCACTCCGTTTCGTCATAACTTCCCAAGCCGTCCCCCGGCTAACCGTGGAGGAATGCACCCGAACGTATTTAAATAACAAGTGATATAAGTTTTAAACAGGGGCGTAATTGAGGACAAATGAATGAGATGAGAGTGATTATCAATCTATCAATCAATCTATCTCTAAAAGTTCTTGTATGACACAAAAAATGCGTACCAATGTGAAATTTTGCGATACCAAAAATTCCGTCGGTTCCTGAAGGCATCCCAGCCCTCAGCCAGATGATTGGTGACGACACCATGCTTGCGTTTATTTTGGCTGTTCTCCTCATTTGTCTAGCTGTCGCCGCCATTAAACCAGACGGGGACAGTTGTAAACCATGGAGAGCTGTGAATTTATACCGTGAGTCGCGGACTTCCGAGAGTCTGTCTTTGTACTGCGAGGTGTCGTTGGGTTTGTAAAGGTGAACATGTGAGAGACAGACGGAGTATTTCGGACTGGGAAAGGTTTGATTGAGCAGGAGGAGGGGAGACGTGGTGGAGGAGGAGGAGGCGGAGGTGGAGAGGGGTAAAAGCTGGACGGGAAGGATTTGTTGTGGTTTTCACCAGTTTTCAAGAGGCTAACACTGTCACGAAACGGTAATATAGTGCATATTTATTTACCTTATTAGGTAACGTTTTTGTGTTTGTGCCCTCGCAGATGATTGTCGGTGTTTTATCGATACTTGGCGAACGTTCATTCGCTACGAAGTTAGCTTGCCAGCTAGCAAGCTTATGCTGAAGGCTGAAAATCCAAACAAAGAATCCACACTATTACACAAACTCAACACTGCCTCTGATAACATACAACCACTGTGTTGCTTTACCTATGTTGAAATTACAAGCTGCCACATTTTGAGGAAGAAATTCGCAAAAATGCGAAGCATTTAAAGGGTTGGCACGTATGTATCGAGCTGTGAAAATGCCAGACTCCCACAATTTAACAGAGCTCTCTGTTGATTTCAGAGTTTTTATCTCTAAGCAAAAATAATAATAATAAAAAAAACCTACTTGTAAATATCGATAATTTTTTTTCCTCCAATTTTCAGCTATGAGATTGCCTCTAAAATGTCTTTGAAAACATGAAACTCGTCTTACTGCTGCAAAACAAAGATCCAACAAATTCTTGCAATTTTGTTTTGTCAGCATTTTGTTTTTTGTTATTTTGTACAGAGCAATGACTCAGATTTTCCCTGCTCTGCTCTTTGTAGATTAACAAGGGCATAGCAAGCTGTTATTATCTGGTTAGAGGGGCTATCCGGTTGTGTAGCCAGCCTGGAGTCGGCTGCCTAACATTGCGTTTGTAGCTTGCTTGAATCAAATCAAATCAAATTTTATTTGTATAGCACATTTCAGCAGCAAGGCATTTCAAAGTGCTTTAAATCATTAAACACAAAAACACAAGAGTCATGCAACATTGAATACACGATCAAAAACATTACATTTTGATTTCTAGCTTCAAAACTTATCTAGTTGGAATATTTTCTTGGTTCATTTGAAGAACTTTACAAAACTTCAAAAGTTTCCCATCATGTGATACCCATGATTTTAACTCATTTTTTTAAAACCTTCACCTCTGATCTTATGTCATTATTTTACCATTAGCTGTACTTTCTCATAGAGCTCAACCATGAGCAAAACCAATGTACTGAATTTTACTCACTGGTTCTGTCAAAAAGCTTCCATGTCAATTTGACAACTTGGAAAATCTGATTTGCAACAGCTCAGTAAGTTTGAGTGTTATAAAACTGAACCTTCATTCTACTTTTATAGACAAACCTATATATAAACACCAGATATTGACTCAGTTTAACGAACTTAGCTTACCAATTGTAGCTTAAAACAGCATCTCTGTTTTTTTTTTGTTTTTTTTTTTAATTAAATAAAAGCTAATCAATGTAATAGCCAGTGCTCCTTTAGTTTCCCACATGGGACTATTGCCCAACAGCTACATTTGTCTTCCACCAGGCCGGTAGCGTCCATCATCAGGAGGGGAAGGGCCTGCACTCTGTTAAAGGGAAACTTTCTCTGGCATCCCATTAAAAGATCTTTAAACTATATGATGAAAGATTTTAGCAGTTTAGAGCCTGTAACTTTTTAAAGTCTTGGTAACCGTCCCATTCCTACTCGAGACTGATGTGGTGGATGAACAAAAAGATATCCACCTTCTAACTGTTAATGTTCCATATAAAGTCGTATAGAAACTCTGGAAGCACAATATCTTTTTACTCAGTCATATTTTTCCATTCTTATCTATATTTGAAAAAATTCTGAAGAAATGCGTTTCTAGCTGAATCCCAAATAAAGTCTGACAACCTCTTTCTTTTTGTCTCACTTGAAGCTGGATTTTACCCACCAGGAAAAAGCAACCCACAATGACGGAACAAAGGGTGAAGTGGGCCTGCGACTACTGCACCTATGAGAACTGGCCGTCTGCTGTCAAGTGCACAATGTGCCGCGCGCCGAGGTTAACGGGGCCCATCATTACAGAGGAGCCGTACAGAAACATCCCCGAACCCGATCCCGGTCCGGAGTGGAATCCCGCTAGAACTGGGAGCGAGAGCAGCCTCCTGATCTGCCCGGACTCCAGCGCCAGACCCAGAGTCAGGACGTCCGGCGTGGCTGAGCTCGCCGGCAAATGGTCCTGCCAGGTGTGCACGTACCTGAATTGGCCGCGCGCCGTTCGCTGCACGCAGTGCCTGTGTCAGCGTCCGCGGACCGGCAGCCCGACGGAGTCGCCCCAGACCTCGGGTACCAACGCAGGCTGCCGCCCCTCCAGCATCCACTCCCCCGTGGACACGTGCGAGGAATATAACGACAGGAACAGACTCAACACGCACCAGCAACACTGGACATGTACAGCTTGCACTTACCAGAACTTGCCCAGAACTACAAAGTGTGTCATGTGTGACCTCCCCAAACCCAACAACCAGGAAGCGGGGGGGCTCCGGGAGCCCCCGCAGTCCTGTCCCCTGATCATCGAGCAGGACGCGGCGCGGTGGAGGGGCAGCTGCAGCGGCAGCCAGCTTCAGAGGAGATCCCCTCCTACGGCCAAGAGGGAAGACTTCCAGAGGATCGAGGTCGCAGCTGGAGCCATGAGCACGGAGGAGCATGAGGTCAACTTCAAGAAGCTGAAGCAGATCAGGAACCGGATGAGGAAAACTGACTGGCTCTTTCTTAGTGCGTGTGCTGGTAAGCGTTTACTTTTCTTATTGCACTTTCGGTTTAGGTAAAGAAACAGTTATTTTTTGTTTTTCCCCTAATCAACATAGGTTGCAATTATACATACAACCCCGGTAACACCCAGTACAAAGTCCTTTATGAAGCTTCGGGCGTAGTCTTATGCATATTTGGCAACTTTGATCAGAATTAGTGTTTTATTTTATCGAAATTATTTGGTTTTCTGGCACAGGATGAGCTTTTGAGCTTAATCCGCACTGTTGGTAAAGTGGAGGAAGGGGTACGGAGGATGGAGGATACACATTTATTATTAATTTTTTTTTTGAGTAGTAACGATGTTAAACAAACAAAAAAATAAATAAATAGTTGAAATTCGGTCCAATTTAACCTTGAGGCTGAGTATGTTCTCAATGTGCCACTGAGAGGATCTTTGAGAATCTCTCGAGTGGGGCTGAATGGGGCGTCTGGGCAGAGCAGTGAGAGTGGAGCCTGTGACCGGAGTCCCTCTTGGCTGCGAGTCAACACGCCCTGTAAACAGTGACGCTTATGTCCCGAGCACGGACCTCCGGCAGACGAAAATAGCCTCGCCAAAAAAACATGAGAAACTGCCAACAACAGAAAACCTGAAGGCAAAGCAACACGTGACCAGCAGTGCACTCTTGACCTTTGCACCGGCTGCACCTCCCTAACTTGCTGTTGAGGATTAGAAATCACTACAGCTGTGCTAGGAGTACTACTTTTAGTCGGTTTAGCACATGTACAGAGGCAGCTGACTCACTAGTTCTCCTTGTGCCGTTTCTAAGCAGGAAGTGTCTGAATCAAGCGGCGCAGTTTGACCAAGACGCCAAGCACTTCCTTTGGTCTGAGAACTCAAGTCTCACTTCACTGTGTTGTTTCCTCATATTTCTGCTGCATTAGACATCTGTAGTCGAGCCAGAATCTCTGTCCCTTTGGTTCAAGTGTCACCTTAACGATTGCCAGCTTCTGTTTTTGTTTTGTTGTTGTTGTTTTTAACGACCAGGTTCCACTGACAACAAGTTCTTTAAGCTTTTAATTAGCGAAAAAGACGAAATGTTAGCCATTTTCAGTATCAATATCTGTATTCGAGGCTCACAATCCGCAAATATTTGAAACCCCCTCCAAAAAATGCTTAAAATTCTCTAGTTTATTAGTTCAACACCAAATTTACCTTAATATTTCTTAATGAGCACCATGGAGACCGTCTTGGTGCTACAGCAGAAGCTAACATCAACAGTCTTCCTTACCGCTGCTCTTTGGGGTTCAGCCAATCAGTGCCAAGGAAAATAAACGGTGCTCCTGGATTGGCTCCTGTGGAAATGCCAGCCAATAGAGTATGAGGCAGCATTGTGTCTTGGATTTTCAGCTTCCCAAGCTTCATTCCTTTAAAATATATTTAGATACACTCTGTTTAAAAAAAAAAAAAATCAGCTCTGTGTAGGTTTTCTGCAAACAATTTGGAGTTGAGTTCTACAGAGAAATGCATGTGGGGGGTCCACTGTACATAATTATGTTTTATAATGATAGTAGTCATTTTGTGCTGCAGTTGCTCTCACACATGCAGTCTGTTTCTTTTGCTACTTAATAGGAACACTGTTTTTATGCTTTCTTATAATTCTTAAAGAGAAATCGGAATCGGGTGAACTCGCCATTAACCGTTCAAGTCTTGATTTGAAAAGTCCTGATCACTGTTTCTTTTAGGTAGTGGATGTACAGGAATTTTTATGTTGGTTGGTTGTCTTTAGTTTTTTTTTTTCTCCTCTTAATCACTAGTTGTCCACATCACAAATACTGTGAGTGAAGTTGAAAACAATCAACAAATAGGACCGGGAATGTAAACACAATTACCGTCTAAAGTTAACTCTGTACCTGATGCTCTTTAGCAAAGAACACAAATGAAAATCTGGAGATAACATTTCAACTTTTATAGAGGGGGGGGGGAAGTAATCTAATATTTTACAAGTTCCTTTCCAGCTCTGGTGCTGTTACAGAATGTGCCAGCTGGAGTCATTTAGTGCCTCGTTATAGATGCGTGTTTGCAGAATGTCACTCGGCGTGTGTAAAATGAGACTGGACGGCTCTCGGGTTCGACTCACTCGCAGCAGCCACCCTGTTTCCTGGCAGAAAGAACCTCCTCACTACAGAGAAGCTGTTTGAGTTTTCCAGCGCCTTGGTGCCCCGCGTGCCATCTAGCTGTTGCACTTTTCACTCATCGCAGATGTTGCCCACAGGGTCCAGAATTAGAGGGGGTAACACTAATCCGCACAGGCCGTCCTCTGCCTGACACAGCCATCTGACGGCTCTGCGTTTAGGCTGCAGGGTTTCGCCTGCTCCCCGCGACTGTGCGAAAGCTGTTCTCACGCTAGCTTTGCTGGACGCTACAGCTAGAGGTCATCCAAACTGTTAACTGACATCAAGATCTACGTTTGCAGTGCAGTCATTTTTGACCTTCGTTTTGTCCATTTTGAACTGCAAATGTTGTCTTTGGCATTTCTTTCAGACTAAAGTTGCTTTTACATGCCGTCTTTTGTTAGCCATGATGCTGATCCAAGAGAGAAAGTTAACGAGTTTTCTCACTTCTGTGACGGTTTTGGTAAATGTGTCCCACTCAGTTGGCCCAAAGTCAGAATTGGTCAATTTTCCCTTATTTGACTCTTATTAAAGATTGATTGGTCAAATAATGCAATCACAGGTTTTATTTATTTATTTTTAATGTCAGTCATATGCATTCAGACTGAACACTCCCGAGATTCTCAGGCTGTTAACAGACTGACTAACAGTAGTTTAATATCAAACAGATGAAGTTTTGTATGAAGCTGATGGACCAATGAGGATTGTATTATCCTGGTGAAAGGGCTTTTATTTACTTTGTGTTTTTAATGCTTTTTTTTTTTTTTTTTTTTTGACCTTGCCGTCTTCCTGCCTCTGGTGTAGGAGTCGTAGAAGGAGACCTGGCCGCAGTGGAAGCCTACAAGTCGTCTGGAGGCGACATCGCTCGGCAGCTCACCGCTGACGAGGTCCAGCTCCTCAACCGCTCCTCTGCGTTTGACGTGGGCTTCACTCTGGTCCATCTGGCCATTCGCTTCCAGAGGCAGGACATGCTAGCTATTTTGTTGACAGAGGTAAGCATTTCGACTGCAGACTTTTATTAGCTTCACCCGCTTGGACTGAAGCCATGCTCTGTGAGGAAGCTGGAACACAGACATCCCTTTGTTAAGCTTGTGTTTTTTTTTTGTTTGTTTTTTTTTTTGTCTGACAGCCAGAAAAAGCAGCTGCTGTTTATTTAGTTAGAATTTTGGTTATTTTTACCTTAAGATATCACTTCAAGGTTAAAGTTTTCTGCCTGATAAAATATGGTTTCTTTGAGGTTTGAACAGCAGTTTCAGTCTTGGGAGAGTTGTTTCGGTTTTCTGTTTAAGGACTTAATTGGAACAAACATTGGTCATAAAGCCCTTATGTAATCATTTAAACTTGGAAAAAAAAAAATCCATATTTTGTGATTTTACTGATGCATTACCAGATCTTGAGTTTTAAAGTTTGATAAATTGAATGAACAGGTAAAGCCTTGCCGGTCAGTGGTCTGAGGAAACATCTTATAAATATGATCTGACTGTCACCATAAATGGCAAAATAGATGGGGGTGCCTTATTTTGCATTTTAAAGTGACCTCCAACTTCTAGATGTCTCTGCTTCTTCACAGCTGAATTGAATAATTGGGTCATTAGCAGGACTTAATTGATGCCAAGGAGGTTCATTACATAAAGGTGTGTTGGACCAAAGACGCATTTAAGAATTGCAAGGCACCAGTCCCTCGAGGACTGAGGTTGTCATGGTGTACAAGACATGTTGACAGTCTTATTGGCAGCAAAGGGTCCCCAGTGAGCTCTCCATGGACCCCCAGGTTGGGAAATGATGCGTTATTGCTTCCTATTCCCCACAGTTCACCGAGCAAACCGGATGTCTGTATCTGCAGTGGAAGTGCTCTTTAAGGATTACATGGAGGATTAGCCTGGCTTCAGTCACTTCTTCCTAATGGGGATGTTAATGCAGAGTTGGAGGGTCCTATAGCCAGAGGAAGCAGTGATACTGGAAGACGGAGGGTGAAACAAGGCCCTCAGTAAGAATTAGATTAACTAAGCCTGCAATTATTGGTTTTAGTTTTATGTTAATTGTCTTGTTGTTTGCTAGTTGTTTCCCTGGTTTGCGTTGATTTATAGAGTAGTTTTATTAATGCACAGGAATTAAGTGTTGGATGTGAATATCACTAAATACAAGTGGTGTAGCATTTACAAAGTGTGGATGTTAGGAGGGAAAAGCAATCACAGTTAACTAGTAACTATTTACAGTACAAGACTAGCAACATTAATTAGTCTAAATACTGATATGCAATTCTAAACTAAGTTTAAAATATCAGCTCTGTGATAATTGCGCCTTTATTTTGAAATGGTAAAACCCTCATTTTATATAAAATGTTCCCTCTTGTGCAAAGTGGGACCTATCCTATTCTTTTAAGTTCTGATCATGATAGCTGCATCCCAATTGTTTGCCGATTTATTAATATTTTCTGATCCAGAACTCCTTTACTCAAACATTAAGTGTTACTTTTGGTCTTTGTGAAGTACAAGTTACTATGAATAAACCATGCTGAAAGTGTCAGTAATACTGCTGCATAATGTGCATATGTCATCGTTCTATTTATGTGTGCAGAGTTCATCACGGCATAAAGATTATAATTTAATCTTCATATTCATCGTCGGTCACAGAGCTCCTAAGCGTGAGCTGCAGAGGTGGAAGGAGACTAGACACACTTCAAAACGTTACTGGTTTCCAGAGACTGCTACTGTCTGCTCTGTGGGTTTTTGTGGTGTGAACTGTTTGTTAAAATAAAGTGAAAAGCAGCTACATCCTCTTGTCATTCATGAGCAGAAACGACACTGCTGTGTGTACACAAGAAACCAAGAAGTTTCACCAAACGGCCTACATAAATAAGAGTTTGCTGCTTTGGTTAAATTATGTCAAGAACATAAGACGGTGACCATTATTAGCTGTTCTCAACAACTTTAAATTAGCAGTTAGGTTAGGGCAATTAGCTTCGCTAACTTAAGTAGCCGTCCCTGTATATTTTCTACGCCATAAATGTTCTTATTGTAAGTCACAGTTTCTCACTTTTCACAAAACATGCATGTTTTGTCTCATCCCAACTTTAAATATATCCCAAAGGAGACGTTGTCCTTGGGTAGCTGTTTTAAACTTAAAGTAACCTGACAAAAATGAGAAATGCATTTATTAATATGTAAAACATTTACCTATAATACAAGAACGTAATCTGTATATTTTGGCATTTAAGGGTGAAATTAAATTCTGGCTGTAACCTTAAGCTTCCAATAACTTGGGACCATGTCGGCTTGGTGACCTGAGCCTATTATCCGCTCTAAGTCCCGGCTATCACAGAAAGAATGGGGGGGGGAAATATATATATTTTGAAAGGAGTTCTTAATCTGTACATAGTGTTTTGTTGTATTGCTAATATTAATTGCATCTCTACAGAAAATTACTCGCACTGGATTAAAAGTTCCCGAGCCGTCTTCATAACAAATGAATAATTTGACAAAGACGACGTAATTTCCAGCCATTCAACATCCTGTTCTTGTTTAAGGTGAACCAGCAGGCAGCGAAGTGCATTCCCTCCATGGTGTGTCCTGAGCTGACGGAGCAGATCCGGAGGGAGATCGCGGCTTCCCTTCATCAGCGCAAAGGAGACTTTGCCTGTTACTTTCTCACTGACTTGGTCACCTTCACCCTGCCTGCAGGTACTCATCACACGCCGACACTTGCAGCTTCTCTACACGTTTTTTTTTTTGTTTTTTTTTTGTCCCTTGTACGCTTTATAATAACGTATTGAACAATTGATTACATTATCTTTTAGTTCCAACAGGCAGAATTAGTGATTCGTTTTCATCTGTGAGTTTACATTGTGACCAAATTTTCACGTGCAATAAAACGCTGCCTTTTTGACTGAAATGGATTAATCTTGTTAATACAGTGGAACTTGTCAAAAGCGTAGGGCTATTTTAGAAATCTGTGTGTGTGTGTGTGTGTGTGTGTGTTGTTTTTTTTTTTTTAAACCCTTAGAAAAGATGCTGTGTTTGCTGCAGCTGCTTACGATTCTGTTTTATAGCTTTCCTTTTCTGCTGACAAATTTCTTGGTAAAAGATTTGCTCAGAGAGAGAGATCCTGGGACCCGAGGCATTTTACGGACAGTCAAAGAAAATTGTACATTTCTAGCAACTTTTATCTCCAACCTCTGTTTGAACTGCAGATCTTATCAAAACAGAGAGGAAATTGACCAATGTCAGCCTAGCACTTCACTTGACCACCAAGGAGCAAAAGCCTCAGTTCATTTAAGAAGCTTTTGTAAGAGCCTGGTGTTTAGATCTGAAGATGTAAACTTTAGCTGACATCTTACTGCAGTAGCCTGAGTCACAAAGTTAACTCATGTGAAATTTGTGACTAAGACTGTCAAGACTATCAGACTGAAACTCGCGTTGAAATAAAATCTCTTTGTCATGATGACAAACGGATACTGCGGCATCCTGAATGTTTTTCAACATGTATGCTAACTTTTATGTCGTATCGGACTGGAACAACTAAAAGACATGACTAGTGCAGGCAGGAGAGGAAAAAAAAAAAAAGAAAATCCTGATCTGTGCTTTCCAGGTCGGAACAGTGCTGACAACAGAACAGCCAACATCATGACTCAGAACTTCTTGAATAAAAGATTACAAAGCACCGTAGCGTTAGATGTGAGGCTGTGCGACTATAATGTGCATGTGTGTGATGCCAATTATTGTTACTGCAGAATGATTTTTGCCCGAGGCCAGCTGCGGGGTTCGGTCTCTCCGAGAAAAGCCGTACGGTTCAATACCGAACCAGAAAATAGCCGGCTGTGTTCTCGCTCTCTGTCGCCTCAGCTCGATGCACACAGAAACGCACACTCCTGCGCCGGGCCGCAGTGTTTACACTGCACCATCGACTAAATGTCACGAGGGGAATGGAAGTGCAAAGAGCATCCCCCCCCTCTGCGATCCATTACTGTGGAGTTGATGTTGCTCTCTCCGCTCACAGTCCAATCACTAACCAACGGCCACGAAAACAAACGTTCCCCCTGTGTTCCGGCAGATATCGAGGACTTGCCCCCTGCTGTTCAGGAGAAGCTGTTTGACGACGTGCTAGACCGAGATGTGCAGAAAGGTATTTGGGATTTATTTATTTTTTTCATATCTGATATCTGGAGTGAAAGAGTAAGCAGTAAGCCGACTGTCTATTGGAGAAATCGGAAGCAAATAAAACGGCTACTTGAAAACCTTCTGAATCAGCCTTTTGTTACATGAGGAAAAATTACATTTTTCTTAAAACCGTTTAAGTTTTAAGTTTCAAATGAATCCTGGTTTGAAGGAATATTCATTGTTTTGTAGTCTTCAAGACAGATCATCATCAACCATTTGTCATTCTGTCCATAGAACTTGAAGAGGAGCCTCCGGTTATTAACTGGTCTCTGGAGCTGGGGACCCGCCTGGACAGCCGTCTCTATGCCTTGTGGAACCGCACGGCCGGAGACTGCCTGCTGGACTCCGTGCTGCAGGCCACCTGGGGGATCTACGACAAGGACTCCGTCCTCCGCAAAACCCTCCATGACAGCCTGCACGACTGCTCCCACTGGTGAGGCGGCAGAGTTCTCAGTACCGGGGAATCCTTCTGACATTTCTTTATTCACACTAGATAATGTTGTTTTTACCATTTTAGAGTGAACCTACTTTGGCCTGTTTGACAGACACTAAAAAAAAAAAATCTGAATGAACTGACTATATTAGATCTATTTAAGCTTCAAACTCATCATGTTTAGCCTGTGAAAACACTCTGACTGAAGCCAGATTCCCCAATTTACATGTTCTGGTCTGAAACGTGAAGCCGTTTTTAGCGGTTGCCCCTGAGGTTTCCTCATCGTTTGTTTTCAGCTTTATAAGTGAGGATGACTTCTCACTTTCTTATGCTTTTTCTTTGCTGAAATAAAACACAGGTTGTTGATCTATTTCTGCAGCTTATTTCCATAAATCCTAGGCAGGCAAATTCTAAAGATTTAAAGATTTAGGGAGAGATTCAACATATAAAAAGTATAAATTATGTTCACAGCTTTGATTTATTTATCATGTGGATCACTGACGAAGGGTCCTTTCTTTGTTTTCTTTGTATTTAAAAGGTTTTACAGTCGCTGGAAGGAGTGGGAGTCCTGGTACTCGCAGAGCTTTGGTTTACATTTCTCCCTCAGAGAAGAGCAGTGGCAGGAGGACTGGGCTTTCATCCTGTCCTTAGCCAGCCAGGTAATTGTTCCTTTATAACTGATGTTTACAAAAAATAGAAAACTAATATATAATAAGAAATATATATTTATGTATAATGTAATCGCAAAAGTATTTACACTATTATTTTTTTTTTTTTTGCTTTTTTTTTATATTTCAGTTCAGTTTAATCAAACGTTAACTGGCTGTTTAGATGAGACGGATAAGAAAATGTTTCAGGGAAACGCTGGAAGAAAACTAATAGTATTTGATGACAACAACCCTAAACATAAAGAATCCTTGGGTTTTAATGTGGCCCAGTCAAAGTCCAATTGAAAATCTATGGCAAAACCTAAACATGGCTACTTGGCTGCATGCTTTCTATAATCGTGCCACTTCTATGAGTGGGTAAAACGTTCAGTGTTGTTGTGCAAGTTGAGACATGACCTCAAAAGACTGGCTTTTGAGGTCAATTAGAGCAAAATGAGTCTGGAAACAAATATATACTTTAGTTTTTAATTTAAAAAAAAAAGTGGATCCTTTTCCTTCCACCTCATAACTATGTGCCTATTTTGTCACTTAAAATCCCAATAGAATGCATTGAGGCCTGTGACTGTAACCTGACAAACTGTGGAAGAGTTCAAGGAATATTTTTTTTAAATTTATTTTTGTTTTTTGCCAGATGCTGTAGAAACAGAAAATATCAGTTAGTCTAAGATATAGAAAGTCATTTTGCATATGTATATAACATACGCAACAACGCACGACTAGACTAGGCATTATTTTTCGTACCAGTACTATTAAGAGATTTGCAAAGAACTGAGGTGGATGAATGGAGTTGCAAGGAGAATAGCTGCAGATTGACAGCTGATCTACTTAAGTGACACGCCTGCTGAGGCAGCACTGCTCCTCAGCACGTGATTTGGGGATTTAGCTGAGCCACTGCTCTGACAGGATAAAGAAATACTGCAGAAGCTTTGATTAGAGATCCTCCACTGAGCCTGAAAGTGCCAGACATATGATGTTGGATGATGGCACTTTTTTTTGTGTCTCACTTTGTTTCTTTTGAAGCTTTTTGATGCGCATTGTTGCGTCTATTTGAGAGAAGTTGCATAATCTGCTTTCTGCTTATTCAGTTAGTACAAAGATGATAAGATGAGCAGGTTAGAGACAGAAACAGAACTGCTGTGTTGCTTTAAAAAAATGACTTTTTTTTTTTTAACCAGGTTGCATTTATGCTTCTTTTTTTTTTTAATCCCCTGTTGCCTCTTGTGCAACTCTCTGTATGTTTAATGTACCAAGATGAAATTGTCTCACTGTTCAGTGAGAATTAAGTTGCCTATCTTGTTCCTACTAGCTATGATCCAAGAAACCAGTTGGAAGCTTGGTGGAAATCCAACTTTTATTTTTTTCCTGGTGACTTAATGCACCATAATGAAACACCGTTGGACCCCAAAGCAACACCACCCTTCAGTGGGACAGTTGTTACTGAGTAGAAGTTTGCTTTTGTCTGCATCATGGAGGTGGTTAGGTTGAAGAGGAAGCACAGATGTAGGATGCTAATAAAAAGGAAACCATTCTCTGTGAGTTGAGACACGCTTGCGGTTTGTTCAGTTTTGCTAAAGAGAACAAAGCATCAAGCAGATGACAGGAAGGCTGAATGGAGCAAAGGTGATCTTGTGGTTACTTTCGACTTTTACTGTCCGTTATGGGACACGTCGCATTAGGAAATGTAGGCAGCCGTTTAAAAATCTTTTGAGATGAATATTTTGGATTTTCTGTCGTACGCAGAGGACGCCTGCTGTTTTTAGTAAAAGTGGCCTGGCAAACTGTGCTAATTTGTTAAATAAGAGTTTAAAAATAATCTCTAAACTTGTATAATCTGGTTTCCTACAGTCTTGGAAAAATACAGAATTTGTTTCACCTTTTTCATATGTCAAGATAAGTTTGAAAAAAAAAAAAAAAAACGGTATCTTTTAATTTTCTTCCTATTGTCTCTGTTAATTTCTGAGAATAAGTTGCTCTACTAATCCATGTAATTTCTCCCCTGCCTCCATGTTTTTTTTGTTTTTTTTAATAAAATATCACATTGCAGTGTCACACTACTATGATTGGTCCATGTGTGATTCTATTTATCCTTCAAATTGTCTATCCATTCATTCGTACAGCCAGGTTTTTGCATATTTTATATTTAAAGCGAGTTATTTTGCCTGGACACTCTCTAAACTTAAGTTGGAAAAGTATTGAAATGTGGCGAGAGAATGTGTAAGCATTCTTACAATGAGTAATAAAAGCCCGCTTACAGTGCTGCAGCGGTGGAATGTTTTTCACCGCTTCTAGTAAATATAATGGTGTACTGCTAATGGGAGAAAGACTAAAGCACAAATCTCACACACCTGACAGGAAATGTATAAATATTAGATGTGAAATGAGATGTTGTCTCCTCTGCTTTCCCTCAGCCCGGGGCCAGCCTGGAGCAGACCCACATTTTTGTTCTCGCGCACATTCTTCGAAGACCCATCATAGTCTACGGAGTAAAATACTACAAAAGTTTCCGTGGGGAAACGTTGGGATACACTCGTTTTCAAGGTGAAGAGTCCAGATCTTAGTCGATGTGGTTTACTTACGTTTTTTTTGTTTTTTTTTTGTTGGTGAATTCTTCCACGTCAGATAAAAATAACGTTTTAAATTATTATTTTTGCGAGCAAATTTGCAAGTTGATATTTTCATGCAGTTCTACCTCTGGCTTTCACATACAAACGCATTGAGTGTACAGCAGGAAGTGCTCTGGCAGAAGTCGCAGCATAGAGTGTGAGTTTGCTTTCAGACACTCTGCTCTGCTAACAATCCTCTGTTTGTTTCCAGTCAGCTGAAAAGCTTCTGATGTCGGATCTGAGCCGGCGCTTTGTCCCTGCTGACTCTCACACACAGTTTAAAAATAAAGTGTACAGTGGGACAGCCTGTTTGTTGCAAGGGGGTCTGAGGGGTCGCCAGGTTCGCCCGGTCCCAGCTCGTTGAATTTGTGTTTTTTTGCGTCCCCCAGGTGTGTACCTCCCTCTGTTATGGGAGCAGAGCTTCTGCTGGAAGAGCCCCATCGCCCTGGGTTACACACGGGGACACTTCTCCGCCCTGGTGGCCATGGAGAACGACGGTTACGACAATCGCGGTGCAGGCGCCAACCTCAATACTGACGACGACGTCACGGTTACCTTTTTGCCGCTAGTGGACAGCGAGAGGAAGCTGCTGCACATTCACTTCCTGTCTGCTCAGGAGGTGGGCACTGATTTTACTCCTGTAGCTGCAAATTTTCTCTCTCTCTCTCTCTCTCTTTAGCTTGACAATTGATATGCTTATTTGATTCTGATGAGAAATGTTTACCATTTCTAAGATTAATAGAGCTCATTCATTATAGCTTTCCTGGCTCAGAAAGTAATGTTGTACAAAATTCACTACAGATTGTGGTGTTGTGGCGTCAGCCTGCTTCATCCATGTCAATACTTGATTTTTCCGCTAAAATGGATAATTAAATTCCCATAAGTATCGACTTTTGTTCTAGGTGAAATGAGATCCATTTACACCAGTCGTTTTGATGGAATTATTTTCTTCAACAAGCAAGGCTTTTAGGAATTCTAGACGTCATTTTCATATGCAGGCTATTGAAGTCTCATGTGATGCTTTAAAAAAAACAAAAAAAACAAAGATTCTCATTTTCATAAATCTAATAAAAGCTAGTGCACCTCACTGCGGTGACATTCAGCAATGAACAGATGTGTGACTGTTGGCTCAAAGCTAAGCTCTTCTAACAGAAGGAAGTAAACTTGGGGCAGAATCTGTCAGCTGTAGTGAACGCTGCGGCTCGACTCTTTACTATTCACACATCATCAGTGAACTTCTACCAGGAAGTGTTAACGATCGGACAAATGTCTTTCATTCTTGCTTTGGAAATTTGCCGCTTCTTTAAAACGCATCGTAGAAACATGTATAACCAAAATAACGGTTCAGAAATCTTGTTCAGCCAACACAAGTTAGTTTTGAGAGAATATTTTCTGCTTGGATAAAATGAAAGAGTAAAAGAAGTGGAGGAGAGAAAAAAAACAAACAAAAAAAAAACATGACTTCAGTTTCCAGTTTGTTTCAGCGCATAGTTTCACCTCGTAAACGACGTTTGAGGAAACTTTTATAAGTGTTTTGACGTGGCTTGCTTGCGACCAGATGGGGAACGAGGAGCAGCAAGAGAAACTGCTGAGGGAGTGGCTGGACTGCTGCGTGACGGACGGAGGCCTCCTGGTCGCCATGCAGAAGAGCTCCCGCCGCCGCAACCACCCCCTGGTCACCCAGATGGTGGAGAAGTGGCTGGACAGATACCGCCAGCTCCACCCCTGCACCTCGCTCTCTGACGGCGAGGAGGACGACGACGAAGATGAGTGAGGCCAGTTGGAGCTTTTGCTTCTTTGAAATGGACATTGTAGGCTCTGGGTTCTGGGCTCTCTAAGCTTTTGTTTTGTTTTTTTTTTTTCCTCCCCCCCTCACCTCCCCACTCACCCTCAAAATGTAAACCACTTCCCTGTTATAATGCATGATTTCTGTGAGCTCTGTTGCAGAGAACGTACCTCTTCTCCCATTCTAAGCACATAAACGCTTCTTAGTTCAAATTCCAAGGCTCACATTCCCCCCCCACGTTTGTTACCTAGTTATCTCATAGAGCTAAAAAAAGAAAAAAAGCCAGAATATGTCTGAAGATGTACCGTATTCCCCAAGCTGCAATAGATTAGCATTTTCATCTACACACTTGCCATGAAGAAATTTGCTAGGATGCCAGTTCCATTTGTTTCATCAGTGGTTGAAGAACAATATGTTTCGCTGAGCACTTATCTTGCCGCAAAGCCCTTATTGATGCCGGATTTATTTATTTCAGACGCCCGGCTTTTAGTTCTCCTCTTTCTGCTCCCCCCCGCTTTCCTTTTAAATTTTGACCCGGGTTTTATTTGATTCACCTTGTCTTGAAGTATTTCATTTTGCACAGTTAAAAACCTACATTTTGTAAGGGGAAGGGGGGTGACATTCAAGTTTGCTGACATTTTTATGTGTAACTCGTAGCTCATGTTTGTGTTTTGAAGAGTGAGGGGTGATTACGCCGGCGGGGAAAAGAGAAAACCAAACACTCTGCCTCTTCTGTGGAGAGCATTAGTATTAAACTTAACTCACTTGCATCCACTTAATTTTTGTCTTGATTTTTTAAAAATTATTTCTTTCTGTTTTGATATGAGCATTAATCCGGTTGGAAATATTAAGAGATGTCAAATTGGATATAATCTTTTGGAATTGCAAGAAGAAAAAAAATCCAAATAGACCTTAAGGAATGGTTTTGGGAGGCGTAGATGGCCAAATTTCCCTTTACCATTTTTAAAAAAAAGTCGATATCAATATTTTTACATTTTTGCCCACGGGAAACATTACATATTTTTATTTTTATAGCAGGCCTACTGTTTTTTTTGTTGAAGAATAGTTTGTATTAATAATATAGTAAAAACCCTTAATTGAAAAGCAAAAACATTTTTCATCTCATGTAGTCAGACCTGATTGGATGCTTATTTTTATACACAAGAGTATGAAAAGTACTGAAAGTGCCTTGTAATTTTGGCTTTATTGTGACTATATTCTGAAATATCCAAAAAAAAAAAAAAAAAAAAAAATTAGCCAGTAAGTTATGGAGAAAAGATGGAATGCATTACGCATAATTACTGACATTTTAAATAATGTTGTAAAAAGTGCAGATACTTTTATATTCAGACCTCAAAGATTAGATTTTAAGAAGTAACAGATGTTTTGGGAACATTCCAGAAAGCAACTTGTAACTTTGTGGGAAAATATTGACTGCGATAAATATGACTGACAATATTTACTGTTATAGTTCCAAGAAATGCAAAACCCGGGTTGGGTTTTATCCAAAGTGTTTGGATTTTAAACCAGTGAGTTCAGAAAAAAAAAAAAAAAAAAAAGTGGACGGTATTAAATTAAATTTCTGCATTTTTTAAATTTATTTATTTTTTTAGAATATGAAGGAAAAACTCCATTCTATACCTGTAATATATGAGATCAAATATTTTGGGTATATACAACTTAGGGATCCACAGATATAAAAATCTGGGGAGATATGGATGACAACTGATATTTATCAATATTATATACATTCCCCCTACCCTTTCAACACCAAAACAAATGCAGCAATATAATGTACTCCCTAGGGCCAAGATTAAAATAAAAAAATAAAGTTGTAGGAAAAATCTAGACTGTAGCCTGTAACTTCAGGGAAAATATTGGCTACATTATCAATAATTACAGTTAGAGGATTGAGGGGAAAATAACGCAACCACTTTTCAAATTCTATCAAGATAATGGTTGATTTAAAATAAAAATAAAAAAAAAAAAAACCTTCCTTGGGTTGTGCTATGCATCATTACTGAGTACTTTTAGTGTATGGAGAATTAAACACAGATGTGTTCAATCCTACAACAGGTCATTTTCAGAAAATAACCTGCAAGTCTGGGGATATGTGGGTTGTAATGGTCTTGACCACATCTATAGTGGTATGTAAAAAAAAAAAAAAAAAAAAACCTCATAATATTGGCGCTTAGAGTAACTTTAGTTTGTGGGAAAACTCCAGAAAGCAACTTATAAGTTTGAAGAATACACAGCCTGCACTCCATATGAGGTAAAAGCTACCGTAAGATATTTTCTTCTAACTTTGCATGTTGCCTTCCAAAGTGTTTAGGAAAGAAAGCCTGTAAATTCAGAGGATGTACACACTATACCATCCATGATTTCAGACTTTATATTATCACAACCTACTAGTTGTGTCGTTTTCATGAGAAGTTAAAGTTTTTGTTTTTTTTAAGATGGAAGGCTTGATAGTTCATTGTACTATATTTAAAATAAATGCATTTGATTAGATCCCGGAAGGCTTCCAGTCACGTTCGAAACAAACGTACTAAACCAGGACGTCTTCTGAAGTCGCTCGCGCCTAAAGATCGGAATCAAGTAACACGACAACTGGATCTCTGAATCATCTCTTTATTTGAACTGTACTGAATGCTAAATGTTCACCTTGTACAAGAAACAAATACAAATACTCACACTAAAAACAAAAACGTACTGCTGGCTGCCTCTTCCGCTATTGTCGGGACACTAAGGAGTTTCAGCTATTGCTCTTACAGAGTACAGGACGACCCCCTCCCCTTCCCCAAAGAACCAGGCCTTGAATAGGACAAAGAAACCGTAAGGAGGGAGGAGAGAGAGAGAGAGGATGGATCACATAGGACTATGGTTATAGGAACATTTAACTAGGCAATACAAATCTAACAGGACTCCTCAAAACTCTTTAACACCAAAAACATATGATGCACCTTGTATAGAAAAATACCACAATGGAGAGGATGACGGAGGAGAGAACATATCCAGACTAACCGGATTAGTCTTAACTTTCTATCTTTTTACAACTCAAGCGATGACAATTCAATGGGAGGGAAATCTGCAAAAAAGTGTTTTTCCTGAGTTAAGAACTGAAGTGTGCTTTAACCCTTTCCTGCCAGCAGTGAATTTACTCAGGAACCTGAATGATCACTGATGGTAGTCGCAGGTTCCCCCTTTTTTTTTTTTAAAACCGAGGTAGCTGTACACCTCTGTATATAACTTAAATCTTTAACCCTCATATCGTTCACCTACCAAAAAGTGGACATCTCCAAAGTATAAAAGTGACCCCTGGTGGCGATGGTGATATTGCAGCTGTGAATTGCTGCCAGGAAAGGGTTGAAAATCACTATAGATTATTAGAACTGATGACAAATCTCATGTTTATTTGAATGATAAATAGATATATGTTGATAATAAATTCTTAATCATTCACGCTAAAAGAAAGAAAACAAAATAAAATCTTTTCTGAGCCTTAAATGTGGGGGGAGGAGAAATCTAAACAACGCACACTTGTTACATAAAGGAGGGATCGGAAAGGTGTTGGGAGTTCTGGAGGGGGATGAATGAGGTCCAGTAGCACAGGATGGTCTTTTTTTTCTGTTCTTCTGAGAAGTGGGCCTATATTTCCCGTGAGCTCTGGTTTGTATAGGGTAGGCAGAACAGAGTCTCATCAGGTAAATCATCCTGGAGCACTAAAAGCACTGGACTCTGTGTCCACAATCATAGGCATGTCCCCAAGGTGGAGGAGAAAAAAACAAAAAACAAAAAAAAAACAACCCTCAAAAACATCATCAAAGAGTAAAGTCGGTACAGAACTCAAACGGACAGAGTAAAAACCGAAACTTTAAAAGTACAAATTGCCCCGTAACACTTCCTTAGTTCCCATTTCCAGGCTGGTTCAACAGGCAGCCGCTTTGTGTCGCTTTTCACTGTCTCTTGGTCCCCAGGTTGGTCGGTTTACTTCGTGATCGGTTTTGTTTTGTTTTTTTCTGAGCGTCGTCAGATGAGATGTTCGCTGCTCGGATCCCTTCGGCTGCTATTGCTCGGTGAGGTGCTCTCTGGTCTCGCCGTGTTTGGAGGGCTGGTTTGGTGACGGGGCCTGGGAAGGATGTGTACCAGAGGGCAGAGTGTGGGCGATGGGGACCCCACCGGGCACCATGCCCTCTAACGCCCCCGGGAGGCCGCCTGGAGCCACTCCAACAACACCCGGCGGATATCTGGCGGCGGAGGAGTCGAGGTTAAGTGCAGTGTAAGCTAAAATATTGAATTTCAGCACACAGCTAGAGATCCTACTGCCTCTTTTCCACCACAGAAGCCTCTTCAGGAACTGATGCACACTTATTAGAAGTTCCTGCATTTAAGGGCTCAGCTTTGATGGGAGTTAGACTTTTAGAAGTACCAGAATTAAATAAAGCTATTAAAATCTTTAGCTTAATGGTTGGAAAGCAATTTGTGAAGAAGTGCTAAGCTAAATCCCCTATGCTACGGTATATATTGAACAAATTTAAAAGTGCTAACCATTTGAGATTACTTATTCTGTTATGCTATTTCAAGCTGAATAAAGGGCAACAATAGGGACAACTTATAACCAATCAGTTAAACATTTACCATTGCCGTGTTTATATCATCAACTTACATCTACGTACTGTACAGAGTGAAAAGTACAGTACAGAGTCTGTGCACCATTGTGTTCTGAATGATCTGAGAATGCTAATGCTAATGTCGATGGCCTTTCCACATGTAGTCGGAAAAATCATTTGGAATGTTCCCCCAACTTGCTCGGAAAGTCGAAGATTTTTTTCAAATGATGATTTTGAGATCCAACATGGCCGCTCATCGCATCATCAATAGTAGCCTTTGGTGGAAACATGCTTATAAGACACACGCCTAAGAGTGCAGACATGTGGTGTCTGCAAATACGAGCAGAGCAAATTAGAAGTGGCGTTTGTGGAAAGCGCAGCTCAACGCATCAGAGGTGCTTAGTTGAATGAACGGCGTAGTCGAAGAAGTCGGAATTTCAAAATGGTGATGCTTAAGAAGCTACTGTTCACCGTACCTCTTACGAAACATCGTTTTAAAATGTACCTTTCACATGAAAGCTCGACTTAATATGTTCAGATTAGAGTTGCATAATCTTGCAACATTGATATTAGATGGACTCCTACAAGAATGTGTTGTAAAATAAACGTTTTCACCACGTCTTAGTTGATGTGAGGAGCGGCCATCTTGAAACTCAAAATTGGTCTTTATGTGACCCTTTTTTTTTTTAATTTAGTCCTAATCACATAAACATTTTGTTACTTTTAATATCATCCGATTTGGGAGTCATGGATTTTCTTCATTTTAGTGAAACTAAATCAAATTCTCATATTTGCTAAGCCTCAACCGAGAATAACTGAATTAACATGAAGTTAATTTACATAAGCTATATAAAGATCTTGGAAGGCATTCTAAAGTAAGTAAACATTTGGAGTTCCTGATTTGGCTCTGTGATATATTTGAAAGGAAGAGGCACTAAAGGCTTTCTAGGAAGAAAAAAATATCACAATAAAACCCATAAACCAGCAAAGAAATTATCCACAAACAAACAAACAAACAAACAAAAAAACCCCAGAAAGAGGAAACTACAGAAAATCTGTCCATCCATGAGATTGCATCTGAATTGCATCATGCTTACTGGGACACTCAAAACCCACATTCACTGCCATCCAGCTCTACTCTGAGTTCAGTCAAACAGGTGAGTTCTTGAAGGGGAGGAAGGGGGGGTCTATAGAGGTAGGGGAGGGCACACATCAGGTGAGTTTAAGGTGAGAGGTTTCCCATCCATGGTGTCTCATTTACCTGCTCCTGATCTAGGCATTAATTTTGTCTTGGGGGATGCCAGATGTTACAGCTTGGAGAGTTTGGTTCACTTGGCTGCATGAAAGAAGGAGACGGAGGTGGACATGCTGAGATAAAAGAACCCAGAACTGAATATAACGGACACACAGGTAGAGAGCATCTGGGGGCTCTGTGATACAGTATCTTGCTAAATAATTCATATCCCCTGATTTTGTTTTTTACATTTTACATTTTGTCCCACCGCACCCACAAACAACGTTGATTCTTATTGGGATCGAATATAAAACGAGTTCACTGTGAAGAAAATTATATAAAATGATCTCTGTCCTTAAATGAACAACTTTTGAAGACACATACTGCCCTCCAGAACTTTCCGCTCCTACCTGTAGGCAGCGCCGTTGAGCTCAGGGTGAACGCCTGGTTGCTCCATAACTCCCCAGGGTGCCGTGGTAACGAAAAACTCCTTGTTCACACAGTTTCGTAGACTATCAGGGATTCGTCCTGCCAAGTGAAACGGACACAGAGTAGAGGACGAATCAATGCAAAAAAGATGGAATGAGCCGCTAGATGGCGCCGACGAGCAGACGAGCTGACTAAACGCATGCAAATCAAGATTACGTGACAGCCTGGATGTTGTTGTGAAATGCTGGTCACGGAGCCAGAGCTGACACCTGTTACAGGGGGGATCTGTGAATGTTCTGCGTACCTGTGATGGCTCTTCGGATTTCAGTGGCAGCCGCCTCCCTCATTTCCAGAGAAGACTGCTCACTGTACCAGGCTGTGTGAGGCGTGCAGATCAGGTTTGGCGCGTCTTTCAGAGGGCCCTGTGCAAAACTGCAGCACACACACACACACAGTTTCTATAAATTTTCCGACTGACAATTTTACGGTTTTATAGTTTGTAATTCTTCAATTTTTTTTGACAGCTTCTAACACTTTTACATTTTTAATAAAAAGCCATTCCATTTTTAATTTTTTTTACATGAGTGTTTTCCATAAATCAGCACTAAACCTGACTTCCACTTTAACAATATGGTTAAGCGGCTAATTCACTACCTTTTTGGTATTTGGAACATTTTAAAATCTAGAATCCTTAGAAAAATCCAATCAGCTGAATTTTCCCCCCCAAAAAATGAATGAAACCCACAATTCAGTTTATGTGAAAATGTAAAAAATTACATTAGGCCGATAAAAACATATTTTAAACACAGACATGTTTGATCATGCGAGGGGCTACGCAACGAAACCATCTCTCGGAAACCATCACTTATAACTCTAAGTGGCGGGACGGTAAAAACACAAAGACTCATTGCTAAAGAAACCGGATGTTCACAGAAAGCATCCAAAAGCAGAGTAATGGAAAACCTAAGTGAATCAGTCGACAAGAAAGTTTTAGAGCACTTCATGCTTCCTTCTGCTTACAAGCCTTCTGCAGATGCTGATTTGATTTTTCCGTCAGACTTGTCACCTGCCCACTTGAGTACTTCTTGACAGTATGATAATGCTTGAATGGCTAACAATGCCTGACCAAAACCTATAAAGCATCTATTTTACTAAAATGACAAAATAGAAAATAAATGAATCAATTTTTTTTTTGTTGGTGTTCAAAAATACTGAGACGTGTAGAATCAGCCAGTCTCCTGTCGAATAGAAAGACAAAAGTTCTCATCCTGTTTATATTCCTTCTCCTCCTCTTCCTCTGTCCTCACAACATTCCTGTCTGATCTGCTTGTGCAACGTCTCGGCAGCAAATCGGATCCGTGTCATGTAGGACAATAGGGGGGGAAAAAAAAAAAAGTTATGAAATCTCTCCCCCAGTCCGCCCCAACCCCTGTTGACATGTTAGGTTAGTAGAGCAGGAGCTCCAGATCCATCTGGATCACTTTCAGCCTCCATCCCCTGCAGCAGCAGCCAGTCAGTTGGGCAGCCAGCCGGAAACACACAGCAACCAAAAAACTCCCATGATGCCCCTGATGCGTGAACGACGCATCAGCACCAGCTACCCCCTGAGATCTGAAACGTGGATCTTTAAAAAGGTGGGAAACTGGAGGACAAGAGTTAGGTGACTTCTTGGCTCACAGCTTAGAAGGAAGAAGGCGGATGTTTTTGCTAGCAGCCTTTAGCCGCAGTTAGCTTATGTCTAACTAAATCTTTATCTATTAAAATGTGCTTCAAGCTAAAGCAATTATGTTGTCATTGCTCCCAGGTTGAACAGTTCAAGTACATTAAACAAAGGGTGGTGAAAACACTGTTACGACTGACGGCGTAAAGTCAATTATTAAATGAGTGTGCAGGTGCCCGT